GTGAGCCGAGATCACACCACTGCACTCCAGCCTGGGCAACAGAGTGAGTGAGACTGTCTAAATAAATAGAGTGGACTCAGCCAGTTGTGCCGGCTCACACATGTACTCCCAGCACTTTGGGACACCAAGGTGGGCAGATCACTTGAGCCCAGGAGTGCGAGATCAGCCTGGGCAACACAGAGAAACCCGTCTCTACAAAATAAAAAATTTAGCTGGGCATAGTGGTGCACGCTGGTGGTCCCAGCTACTCAGCAAGCTGAGGTGGGATGGTGGCTTGAGCCTGGGAGGTTGAGGCTGCAGTGAGGTGTGACTTTGCCACTGTACTCTAGCCTGCGTGACAGGGTGAGGCTCTGTCTCAAAAATTTAAAAAAAAAAAAAAAAGAGTAGACTTTGGGCCTTCAAATCTAGGGTGTGGTCCTTAGCATCAGCTCTCCACTGAGATGAGGTCTTGGGGCTGGGCAGCTCTCAGGCCCTTGTTGCTAAGGACCGCCTCTTCCTTAGTAACTGGCATCTTAAGGGCAGGGCCTCAGAACCTTATTGTCAAGGAGTTTCTCCCCTTAGCAACAGGAATTCTAAGAGGGCGGGGCTGTTTCCAGAAAAGGAGGAGCCTGTTGGAAGTGTGAGATGCTGAATATGGCAAAACAGAACAAAGAGCACCTGGGCAGATCCAAAATACCACAGGGCCTGGACGTCCTGGTGCAAGGCCAGGCAGCGGGTCAGATGGTCCTGGTCTCCTGTCACCACGTTGGCCAGGCCCGCTGGGAACAGGGTGGCTATGTCCTGGGGGATGGAGAGAGTGGGAGGGTTGGGAGGGCCATGGGGACGAGGCAAGGCTTAGCGGGCATTCAACAGGACGGGGGTCATGGACGAGAAGGCCCCAGCCTGGGGTTAAGAATGGGCACTGGGTCCCTGAGGAGTGAAGGCCTGGATGCTGGGGTGGGGACATCACGGTTATCACGGAGGGTGGTAAGAGCCACACTCTTTTGTCTGTCACCCAGAGGCTACGGGGAGCAGAGGCAGGCAGGAAGGCAGAGGACTATACCTGGCAGACCTCCAGGGCCAGCAGGGGACAGGCTGCGCTGGGCACCATGACCACAGTGTTGCCGCAGGCTAGGGCGGGAGCGAGCAGGGACACGAAGGCCAGCAGGGGCCACTCGTCCGGACACACCACAGCCAGCACCCCCAGTGGCTCCCGCAGGCGCAGCACAGGGCCTCTCAGCCCCGATACCTGCAGGGACAGGTGGGTCAAGCACGGGGCAGGGGAGCCCACCCAGCAGTGAATGAGAGATCGTGTTCTCCCACATCCTCGCCAACACTTGGTGTTAGTCCAAACTGCACCACTGTGTCAGTCCCCCGCCATTTCCCAGACCCTGGTCAAAGTGAAACATTCCACGGGGGCTCAGGCTGTTAGAAATGTCCTGCCCAACCATCTGACTGTATTTCTTTTTCTTTTCTGTTTTTTAGAGACGGAGTCTCGCTGTGTTGGCCAGGCTGGAGTGCAGTGGCACAATCTCGGCTCACTGCAACCTCCACCTCCCAGGTTCAAGCAATTCTCCTGCCTCAGCTTCCCGAGTAGCTGGGATTATAGGCACGTGCCACCACACCCGGGTAATTTTTTGTATTTTACTAGAGAAGGGGTTTCACTGTGTTCCCCAGGCTGGTCTCGATCTCCTGACCTCGTGATCCACCTGCCTCGGCCTCCCAAAGTGCTGAGATTACAGGCATAAGCTACCACGCCCAGTCTCTTTTTTTTTTTTTTTTTTTTTTTTTTTTTTTGAGATGGAGTCCTGCTCTGTCGCCCAGGCTGGAGTGCAGTGGCACGATCTCAGCTAATTGCAACCTCCACCTCCCAGGTTCAGGTGATTCTCTTGCCTCAGCTTCCCGAGTAGCTGGGATTACAAGTGTGCATTATCACACCTGGCTAATTTTTGCCTCTTTAGTAGAGAAGGGATTTCACCATGTTGGCCAGGCTGGTTGTGAACTCCTGACCTCAAGTGATCCACCCGTCTCAGCCTCCTAAAGTGCTGGGATTACAGGCGTGAGCCACTGAGCCTGGCTACCTGACTTTTTTTTATCATATCCTGCCAGTCAAAGGTCCAACTGTAGGAATATCTCCATCATTTCCTGCTGAGCAAAGGTCCAAGGAATATTCTATCACATCCCACCAGAAAAAGGGCCAAACTGGCCAGGTGTGGTGGCTCACGCCTATAATGCCAGCACTTTTGGAAGCCGAGGTGGGCGGATCACTTGACGTCAGGAGTTTGAGAGCAGCCTGGCTAACATAGTGAAACCCTGTCTCTACTAAAAATACAAAAAATTAGCCAGGCGTGGTGGTGGTTGCCCCTGTAGTCCCAGCTACTCAAGAGGCTGAGGTTGGAGAATTGTTTGAACCTGGGAGGCAGAGGTTGTGGTGAGCGGAGATTGTGCCATTTCACTCCAGCCTGGCAACAGAGTGAGACTCTGTCTCAAAAAAAAAAAAAAAAAAAAAAAGAAAAGAAAGAAATGTGTTGTGGGGGCGGGGGGCAAGGAGAGGGAACTTAGAAGACAGGTCAATAGGTGCAGCAAACCACCATGGCACACATATACCTACGTAACAAAACTGTACGTTCCGTACATGTATACCAGAACTTAAAGTAAAATAAAAAAGAAAGAAAGCAATATGTTTTGGCCCATGATATAGTTCGGATGTCCCACCCAAACTTCATGTTGAAATGTAATCTAGGCCAGGCGCGGTGGCTCAAGCCTGTAATCCCAGCACTTTGGGAGGCCGAGGCGGGTGGATCACGAGGTCAAGAGATCGAGACCATCCTGGTCAACGCGGTGAAACCCCGTCTCTACTAAAAATACACAAAATTAGCTAGGCATGGTGGCACATGCCTGTAATCCCAGCTACTCAGGAGGCTGAGGCAGGAGAATTGCCTGAACCCAGGAGGCGGAGGTTGCGGTGAGCCGAGATGGCGCCATTGCACTCCAGCCTGGGTAACAAGAGCGAAACTCCGTCCCGAAAAAAAAAAAAAAAAAAAAAAAAAAAGAAATGTAATCTGAGACTCACGCCTGTAATCCCAGCACTTTGGGAGATCAAGACAGGCGGATCACTTGAAGCCAGGATCTGGATCAGCCTGGGCAACATGGCGAGACTCCTGTGTCTACAAAAATACAACAAAACCCAGTCATGTGTGCTGGTGTGTACTTATATACCCAGGAGGCTGAGGGTGGGAGGCTCTCTTGGACCTGGGAGGTTGGGGCTGCAACGAGCCATGATCATGGCACTGCACTCCAGCCGGGCGACAGAGGGAGGCTGGTGCCAACACGCCCAGCTAATTTTCCTATTTTTTGTAGAGACAGGCTTTCAGTGTGTTGCCCAGACTGGTTTCAAACTCCTGGCCTCAAGCGATCCACCCACTTTTGCCTCCCAAAGTGCTGGGATTACAGGTGTGCGCCACCATGCCTGGCCAGGTGTTCCTTTTTTTGACACAGGGCGTTGCTCTGTCGCCCAGGCTGGAGTGCAGTGGCGCAATCTCAGCTCACTGCAACCTCCGCCTCCTAGGTTCAAGTGATTCTTCTGCTCAGCCTCCCAAGTAGCTGGGATTACAGGTGCATGCCACCATGCCCAGCGAATGTTTGTATTTTTAGTAAAGATTGGGTCTTACCATGTTGGCCAGGCTGGTCTTGAACTCCTGGCCCCAAGTGAGCCGCCTACCTCGACCTCCCAAAGTGCTGGGATTACAGGCGTGAGCCACCACGCCCGGCCCAGGTGTTTCTTTATAGCAATGCAAGAACCGCCTATCACAGCCTGCTCAATTGATTTTACCGTCCAGGAATGCGTCACTAACCATCATCTGGTGAACGCTCCTCTACAAGGTGGGGTGTGTGCCCACTCACTACACAGATGAGGAAACTGAGGTACAGAAAGATGAAGCCACTTGCTGATGATCCTCCCATGGAAGGCCTCGGGGCTGGGCCAGGATCCCAAACCTGGCGCATCTCACAGGCTCTGTTATGAGCCCCACCCTGCCTGCCCGGCTCTTGCGGTTGCCCACAGACCCTTCACCTGTAGAGTGTGGCCTTGGGCCTGGGCCCGGGCCCCCCATGCCCGAAGTCGCCTCGCGCTCAGCTCCACCTCCGCCTCGGCAGCCTTGAGCTCCACTCCTTGCCTCTCCAGCCTGGAGGCCAGGGTTGACTTCCGGCGCTCCAGTGCGGCCGCCAGGGCCCACAGCAGGCCTGCCCGGGCCCCTGGGGACTGGCCCGCCCAACTGTGGGCAGACAGTGCACACTGGGGGTTGGCATCCTGGTCTTGGCTCTCCCGACACCCTCCTCTGTCCACAGCCCCTACCCTGGGGGCGCAGGCTCCCAGTCCATCAACTGTTGGGGGCCCCAGACTCCCCTCTCTGCCATGCCATGACCCCGGGGCTTTCCCGTGTGACCCATCTTACCCAGGGGCAGCCTGGTGAGCGGCCTCCACAGCACCTCGGATGTCCTTGGCTCCGCCTTCAGCCACATAGCCATGGAGGTTGCCAGACGAATCCTGGATGGGCCTGGAGCTTCGGGCCCCAGGAGCCTGGAAACGGCCCCCCACGAAGAGCCCATAGGGGGGTGCTGGACTGGAGTAGGGTGTAGCATGAGGAGGAGGTCTGGGGCCTGGATCTGCTAAGGCCTTATGCTCTACCCCACTGGGAAGACCACCTTGATTCCCGTGAGCCTCTGGGGCATCCCAAATCCCTGTTCCCATGAGCCTCTGGGGGACGCTAAACTCCTGCTCCCATGATTCACTGGGGGACCTAAACTCCTCCCATGAACTTCTGGAGGACCCTAAACTGCTACCATGAGCCTCTGGGTAACCCCAAATTCCTGTTCCTATGAACCTCTGGAGGAACCAAAGTTTCTGCTCCCCTGATCCTCAGTGGACCCCAGACCCCTGTTCCCTTGACCCTTTGGGCGCTCTAAACTCCTACTTCCATGGGCCTCTGGGGTACACTAAACTCCTGCTCCCGTGGGCCTCTGAGGGACACTAAAATCCTGCTCCCGTGGGCCTCTGGGGGACAGTAAACTCCTGCTCCCGTGGGCCTCTGGGGGACACTAAACCCCTGCTCCCGTGGGTCTCTGGGGGACACTAAACTCCTGCTCCCATGAGCCTCTGGTAAACTCTAATGAGCCTGCTCCCATAAGCCTGATGGGTACCCCAAATTTCTGTTCCCATGAATTCCTGGAGGACCCAAAGCTTCTGCTCCCATGAGCCTCTGGGGGACCCTAAGCTCCTATTCCTATGAGCCTCTGGGAGACCCTAAACTTCTGCTCCCTTGAGTCTCTGGAGGGGATCTTAAACTCATGCTCCCATGAGTCTCTGGGGGACCCCAAGCTTCTGCTCCCATGAGCTTCTGGGGGACCCATAAACCCTGTTCCCATGAGCCTCTGGGTGCCCTAAACTCCTGCTCCCATAAGCCTCTGGAAGACTCTAAAAACTGCTCCCATGAGCCTGAGGGGCACTCCAGACTCCTGTTCCCATGAGCCCTTGGAGGACCCGAAGCTTCTGCTCCCATGAGCCTCTGGGTCACTCTAAGCTCCTGCTCCTATGAGCTTCTGGTAGACCCTAAACTCCTGCTCCGATGACTCTGGGGGACCTCAAGATTCTGTTCCCATGAGCCTCTGGGGGACCCCAAGCTTCTGCTCCCATGAGCCTCTGGGGGACCCCAAGCTTCTGCTCCCATGAGCCTCTGGGGACCCCAAGCTCCTAGACCCATGAATTTCTGGGAGAGCAGACATTCATGGGGCAGAGCTGAGAGTCTCACCAGGCCTGGGGTGGGATAAGTGTGAAGCCACAGTGTAGTACTCAGCAGGACCACGAGATGGCTTGGATGGACCTCGCACCAGCCCTCCAGTCCATGGGGAAGCAAGCATTCATTCCCTTCTCCCCGTTCACCCCTCCAGACCACCGGCCCCCAACAACTCACCTGGGCCCGATTTCAGGCCCAGCCGGCAGGGTTGAGGGAACAGTGAGGCCAAAGGTGTCATAGTTCATGTTCTTGGACAGGCAGGACACCTGAGTGGGGGTCCCCGAGGGCCGCAGATACTCATAGAGCCCCTGTGAGAGGGACAGAGTCAAGAGGATGCAAGGGGCACGCGAGGCCAGATGCAAGTGTCAAGGGCACATGGGCTGGGTGACGAGGAGGGGTGTGCTCACATCGGGGCCCCCGTGCCAGGAACACCCACTCTCCTTGCAGCCACCTGTGGGCACCGAAGGGTCTCTGAGGCCGTGGGCGTTGATCCAGACGGTGCCCATCCGGAGCCTGTGGGGAAGACGGAGACATCCGACAGAGGAAAGCAGACAGTGGCAAGCCAGGGAGGGATGAGTTAAAGGCGTGGGGAGCGACCCAGGGAGAAGGGATATGAAGCTGTGAAGACAGAGGTGTGAGCACCCGGGCCACGGAGACTGACCCGTAGCCCAGCTCCAGCGCCTGCCCCAGCCTCTCGCTCCACACGCTGGCGCTGCCCCCGCGGGGCGTCCCATTGGCCACCGCCAATGCCTCCTTGGCTGTACGGAAGGGGGAGGCCACGACCACAGGCCATGGCACCTGCAAGCAGTGACCGGGAGCTCAGGCAGCCTGGCCAACCCCACCCTCCAACCCCGCCCTTCAGGGCCCACCCACCGGGGAGGAGCCGGGAGCAGGCAGCAGCCCCAGGACCAGGGCACGAGGTCACCTCAGGGGCTTCCGCAGGCATGGAGCTGCTGCCCTTGGCTGGCTTGGGTAGCCGCTCTGCAGCCCTAAGAGACTTACCTCTGCCTGGGCACAGGGGGAGGCTGGGGGCAGGTTGAAGACCAAGGTTGGGGGATAGAAAGGCCTTTCTGGGGGCACATCGCCAGCCTGGAACACCTAGGAAGAGAAATGATCTAGAAGTCAACCTCCAGTCCCTTCCTGCTGAGACCCAGGAGTCCAGGACCAGCCCCTCCTCCCTCAGACCCAGGATACCAGACCCCAGCCCCTCCTCCCCCAGATCCAGGAGTCCAGACCCCCAGCCCCTCCTCCCTCAGACCCAGGAGTCC